GCCGGCAGCTTCACTGGCGTGCTGAATGAGAAACATGTCCTTTTCTTCTTGAGTGCAGACCTTTGCCTGGAGAGCCCATCCGCGTGGAAAGAGACGCCCAAAGGGACCCCTGCCCAAGTGGACTTCTTCAAGGCACGGGTCGAGCACTTACTGGAGAGTGTCGCGAAAACCCCGGGTGCCATCGGCTTCCTCTTCGACGGCAGGTCCAAGGCTGCACGCCGGGTGTGCCTCGGCTTGGTCTTGATTGCTTGAGCACGGATGTGTTGAGTCGACTTGAATCATGTCATGGTAATCCAGCTGAGTTTGGACAAAGCCACGCAGTCGCAGTCGGAGTGCGTGGAGATGCTGATATGCTATGTCGGCAAGATACACAGGTCCTCAACGAGGCGAGTATTCGGTTCCCAGGTGAATTTTGAGAACTGCTTCATGGTGCTGAACGTTCCGCGCGTGAGACTAGCAACGGTCGATCGCCAGGACAGCCAGTGCCAGCAGGCAGAAGCTATAATAAGCGTTGTCAGTTTAATGTCTCTGGTCTTGCAGGACGACTACGCCCAAGAGCATGAGTCTACGACAGCTTTCACGACCTACTCCGGCGTGCTCTACCCGCCGACTGAGAGCCTGCCATTGATGAACTACAACAGCAAGGCAGGCATTCTGGGCCTGGACAAGAAGGCCGTGTCTGATGTGCAGCAACTTGACCTCAAAATTCTTTTTAACGCAAACACAGGCACACGCAGACTGCTTTAGTATCATCTTGCTCTGGGAAGTCGCACGCTGCAATTTGTCATTGTCATCCTTGGGCAAAGTAATTGCAACTTGACTTCGTCCGAGGTTCCCGAAGGATTGGTCGTCGCAGTCGCAAGTGCCTTTGTGGTGGAACGAAACAAAGTCCGCCAACTTTTTCGAGGCTTTGTTGAAGAACTACCAAGCACACCAAGTGGTGGACATGTCGGCAGGACTGGCTTTGGCTAGTGCTGCCATGCGCTTGAATGTTCGATACGCAGGCGTGGCCTGCAATAACGAACACTCGACATGGCTGCAGAACAGCATCGACAAGGCTGCCATCGCCGTGATCTGTGACAACGAACACAGCTTGTATCAAGAGTCTCTATCAGGTATGTTGAGCAAGCTTTTTCCAGGCCAATGCGAGTACAAAGAAGTTGCCCAGGATGAGTCGGGTCCTGTCCCAGCCACTCCTCCAGGGGCAGAGCCTGCTGAAAGGACGTCGGCGACACAGTAGGTGGAGCGGCCTGAACTTTCAATCGGGGTCGGTCGTCGCAGTCGGTTCGAAAGCCACATGATCCTTCATGCCTGCTGCTGTGACACCGTGGGCTTGGGAAGGCTTTAAGTAGAGCTCGAAGTACAAGAGTGCCACATAAATAGGACCGAGGCAATGATTGACAAGGGGACTAGTATGGTTTTGGGCATGGCCGCAGCCTAATATGATATAATTATACTCCAGAGCCCAACGGAGTCGCAACCAGCTGGCGACATTTTGCCACAACCTTTCGCGGTCGATGTCGCTGTCGCCGTCATTGCTGCAGCAGAGAAGCCCTCGACGTGATAAAAAAGGTGCCCCTGCCAGCCTTCCTGACTCAAATAACACTCAAATCAGCTCAAATTGTACTCAAGTCGTTTGGCATGCTGCACTCAAGATGAACTCAAGTGCTCTTGCGAGCTGGTCAGGCTGTCGGGT